AAAGTTTGAAAAAATCTCTCTGCTTGTCCATTGGATGCAGGGTGATATGGTGATACATCGTACAGTGGATAAAATTTTTCTTCAGAAAAGATGTATATTCAGCTGAATGAAATGGAGGTCCATTGTCGGAGACAATATTCTCTGGTAAACCATACCTTGCAAAAATATTACGTAAAGCATTAATTGTTGCTTCAGCATTAGTTGTTTTCATAGGACCGTGAACTTCGGGCCATTTGGAATAAGCATCAACTAATATCAGGAAATATTTACTTTCGTGAGTAGCGAAATCAATATGTATACGTTGAAATGGTCTGGAAGGCCATGTCCAAGAAGTAAGAGGAGCCCTTGCTGGTTTATTACGAGTTTGTTGACATCTCTTGCAATCTCTGGCAATTCTTTTTATGTCGATGTCTATGTTGGGCCACCATACATAACTTCTAGCTTGATTTTTCATCTTGACTACACCCATGTGAGATCCATGAAATTCTTGCAGAATGTCAGCTTGTAGATTTCTGGGAATGATAACTCTAAGTCCCCAGAGCAAACAACCTCGCTCAATGGAAAGTTCATTCTTACGATGGAAATAAGGCTTCTTGACAATTTTCCATCCATCCTGATTCTATGAGTCGGATCACCTTGGATAATACTGGGTTAACACTATTTGGTTTGGATATCTGAGTAGATGTGACTGGAAGTTTGTCTAAACGTGAAGATACTGAATAAATAGTTTCTTCTACAGATCTATCTGCGGTATAAGACAGCGGAAGTCTTGACAGCGCATCAACTTTAGCTATATATTCGGACGTAAACTTTCTACCATAGAGGTACATATAGAACTTGGAAACACCAAACAGTGGCTAAAGCTTCTTTCTCGATTTGGCTGTAATTTTTCTCAGCAGAATTGAGTGAACTTGATGTGTATGCAATAGGTCGATCACAGTCATCAGGAAACTTGTGAGAAATTACAGCTCTTATACCATACTGACTTGCATCACATTCTAGGATGATGGGAAGACTTTGATTATAATGAACCAATACATGTGATGAGGATAAAGCAGACTGGAAGCTTTCTGGCAAGCAACTGTCCATTTCCAGGATCTGCCTTTCTGGAGTAACTGGTTTAAAGGATGAAGTAAGGTACTCAAGGATGGTATGAATTTACCATGATAATTAACCATGCCAAGAAAGGCTCTAAGTTGAGTGACAGTCTCAGGAACTGGAGCGTCCTTGATAGCTCTAATCTTGTCGTCAGTAGGTGAAATTCCATCTTTGGATATGATGAATCCTATATAAGTGACAGATTCTTGAAGAAATCTTCATTTCCGAAGTTTGAGACGGAGTCTATATTTAGATAGTCTCTGGAAAACAGCTAGATTGGATAAATGTTGTTTTCGTCTGTGCCGGATACAAGGATATCATCTTGGATACAGACAATACCTTCAAGACCTTGGAGATGTCCATGGTTCTTTGAAATATGCTAGGAGATGAAGCAATACCAAAGGGCAATCTTTTGTATCGATAAGTCCTTTATGTGTATTAATAGTTACATATTGTTGACTTTCTTCGTCCAACAACAATTGTTAGTAGGCACAGGTTAAGTCGAGTTTAGAGAATTTGACTCCACCTTGTAACTTCCTAAAAACATCATCCGGTAGTGGAATAGGAGTGACAAAACATTGATTTTATCACCGGAATGTGAATGCAAACAATGTCAGAAGGTTGTAATGGAATATCGGAAAAGTTGGAATTGTAAGTATTTTCTGAAATAATACTAACACCGGAACCAGTATCAAGCTCCATATTTATGTCTACATGATTAATTCTGAATGGAAGAATAATCCCCGAATGATGTGGGTTGATCTTGAACGTTGATACTGAGTCTTGATCTTCTGAGTGTAATTCACCATGAGTGACCCTATGGACAAGTTTCGATGGTTGGATTTCGGATTATGACAGGCAGATGCTCATCACGAGAATAGTCTGATTTTCCACAGCTCAAACAGGAATAGGCTTTGGATTGTGAAGATGGCTTAGTGTCTCTAAATTTCTGGCTGGGGTAACTTGTGTATGCATTGGATGAAGGATTTGATCGGTTGTTAGATCTCTTATTTCTACGTTGAATTTGGTTAACATTCTGTGATGATTGTGATAGTGATTTGGTTGAATTTCAACTATGTCTTTCTCTGCTGTTTCCATGAAGAAGGCTATTTTCAAACAATCTTCCAAAGTTTTGTTTTCAGGCAGCAGTCTTTTCTGGATGGTTGAACTCTTTAGACCACAAACAAATATACCACGCAAGGAATCTTTGAGGAAATTCCCAAATTTACAAGTCTTTTTGGAGAAAATGTTCCTCTAAAATCTCCTTCACTTGAAAGTCTTGTCTGAAGGCAAATCAGGTGAACACAAATCGTACAGCGTGTCATAGGTCATTCCCCCTATGCACGAAATCAATATGGCACGTCTTCTCGAAACTTCTGCGGTGTCCTCTGGAATTTCGTTTGCGACGAAATACTGGTCCAAACAATCTAAATATCGCTTGATATTACCACTGGAGGCTTCAAAAGTTTCAATTTTACCCAGCTGAGACATCTTGGAATTTGCCTCGTCGCCAATATGTTGTGTATTTTAATGACTATATTAATCATGACTTGTTTATTTTAAGCCCAGGAAATTGACTGACAATATGAAGAAGAGTTGAACAAGGGAAGTAACAACAAGGGAAGTAACTAAGTAAATATCAGAACACAATACACAATTAATCAGTACTGTGGCTTACAGTCTTATGACACAACACCTCTCTAATAAAATGAAATGTCCTATGGAATTGATAAAACTTAGAAAACACAGAACTAAAATGTCACTGAAATTGAGACTAAATCTCTTGAATAAGTCTATTTGGTGGATTTACAATTCTTCCTGAACGAGTAGCATTGGCAGGTTGTTGAGCTTCTTTTTGAACAGCTGGTGATGTATTGGATCAGGAGGAATATCATCATTGTTGTTTTCTATACCAAGATCTATACAACAGTGATATTGGTCTAATGTTCTCTAATAGTTTCTTCTTATCTTTATTTTTTTAAAATTAACACTTTCATTCCCCTTCTAAGTGATCTTGGTAATAAAAGGTTATTATTTCAAGCAAAGGTGAAGGCGTTAAAAGTCAAAAATGATAATTCAGTAAATTGTAAAATCTATTCCTTTTTTTAATTAAAAAGACCAAACAGTTTTTACCGTTATCTCATATTGGCCAAAGTAGTGACCTATCTTTTTGCAAAATATTATGGGTGACAAATATACTTTGTACGTTATGATAAATTGCAAATATATAACCCGAATGTACCACGCCCATCCAAAACATATTGTCATACTTGTTATTATGTCCTAGATTTCATTGACGAGTTATCAGAGCAGCACAGAGGATACAGCTCTTTTAAAAAAAATAAGGTAGTTGTTTTCAAAAGTGGGTTTACTGAACTTTAGGTCCCTGTTTGCTTGAAAAGACGTTGGATTTGGTTGAATTTGAGGTACATGTGATCTACATCATCATCATCATCAATGTAATCGTGAATGAAAGTCATATTGATATTGACTTAAAGAAATAACTAAAAAAAAAACAATGGTATACATCGAATCCATAAGTTGGCAACAGATCGATTTGGGAGACTGTTGGACGCCCAAACGTTACGTAAACCCGCGATATATGAAGATGAAATTTATGTTGTGTTTTTTTTTCTTCATAAACATATCACAGTTATTGTAAGTGAGTTTTCATGTTTAGGAAAGGATACAATATTGATGATGCAGCAAGGCATGACCCACTTTGGACGGGACGTTCGTTACTTTCATGAAAGGAGAAACAATTCAGTTACTGTTTTTATTTTTTATTATGACACCTCACATTCCACACACACAGTTCACAAATAATTCATTGGATGCGTTAGATAATGATTATACAAAATGCAATATGGGTATACAAAGGACGTAGTTATACAATGAAAGGACGTGGTTTAGCTGTAAAGACAAAAAATACCTATTTACTAACATCCCCCGTGATACTGCGCATGAGTATAGAACCTATCCTTTCTGAACTCCCAACCAACCTTACGTTGGACAGCATTATCAAACTAGTAGAAGCATGTATCGATTCAACCTACTTCACGTGGAAAACTGATTTCTATGAACAGATACATGGACTCCCTAAGGGATCACCGATCAGCCCCTTGTTAACCGAGGTATACATGACTCAGTTTGAAGAATCAGCCCTTGCCTCGGCGCCTTTCCAACTCCTTTACTGGGTGCGAAAAATCGACAATACGTTTGTGATGATGAACCCTGACGATGACCTTCAGCTGTTATTGAACCACCTCAACAATATCCACCCCGCATGAAATTCACAGTAGAACACGAGTCCGAAAACATGCAGATATCCTTCCTTGATGTTTTAGTTCACAGATCCTCCAACAGCCTCCATACCGCAGTATACCGCAAACCTACCCATACAGACCAGTACATTCATAACAGTTCCTGCCATCCCACCAAACTGAAAACAGGTATCATGAAGAAATCAACCACCTACAGTAAGTACTTACAGAATACAACAATTATCCAGCAAAGATGGTAAACCAATCCATCACAAAGACACTAACTCCTACCTGCAGGAGGATCCTGATGATATCAGGCACAAATCCGTGTTGCTTTACTTGGATCTCATACCAAGTTTAATCAAGATCGTATAAAAAGCGTAGTCTCTATCAGGCCTACAAGCTAAATTAGACGCATTGAGTTAATTCAAGGGCAATAACTCCAAAAACCGTTCACCTGATTTCAACTTGACTGAGATCTTGTCTATATATACATGCATACCGAGTTTCATCGTGATCAGATAAAAACTGCACCCTGTATCCTAACAACAAGCCAAATGTACTAAATCAAGGGCAATAACTCCAAAACCGTTCATCTGATTGTGACCAAATTCAAACTCATCAATATATACATGCATACTAAGTTTCATCAATATCGAATAAAAACTTTAATCTATAGCGTGCCTGAAAGCCAAATTTAACATATTTTTACTAAGTCAAGGGCAATAACTCTAAAATCGTTCATCTAATTACTGCCAATTTCAAACTTAACCGAAATCTCATCAATATATACATTCATAAATTTCAATCAAGATGGGATCAAAATTCTAACGTTCATTGGGCATATTTTAACGCATTTTTAATGAGTCAAGGGCAATAACTCTGAAACCGTTTATCTGATTATTACCAATTGCGACTGAGGTCTCATCAATATCTAAAAGTATACTAAGTTTCATCAAGATCGGATAAAAATTACAGCCTTTATCGTGCATACAAGCCAAATTTAAGGCGTTTTAACTAAGTCAAGGGCAATAACTCTGAAACCGTTATTCCGATTTTTACCAATTTCAAACCTGACCGAGATTTCATCAATATATACATGCATACTAAGTTTCATCAAGATCGGATAAAAATTGCAGCCCTTATCATGCATACAAGCCAAATTGAATGTGTTTTTACTAAGTCAACGGCAATAACTCTGAAACCGTTCATCCGATTATTACCAATTTCGAACTTGACCGAGATCTCATCAATATACCAAGTTTCATCAAGATCAGATACAAACTGTAGCCTCTATCGTACATACAACAAATATGGACGTACGGACCGACCGACCGGTTTTCTCCTTTTTGGTTTATCAAATAAGGCTTTAGACAAGTCAAATTCAGTGTGATTTTCCTTAGAATTTTGACCACTGATTATTGTCATTTCTGACTTCGGTCCCGAAGTCGATGAATTCGCCATTTCTGCTTACAGAAAACAGACGACAGATTTCTCGATGACCGAAAAGGTGGGTGAATCTTTCTTATAAAGAAAGTCACTAAAGATTTTTAGTTTTACCAGCTTTCTAGGAAACTAAAAAATTCGAGTAATTCAGACGTTCAGACACACGTCTTGAAACTTCGAAAGCGGCATGCAAAGTGATTGAAAGCGCGCGTGCTACATCTCATGTGACCGGAAGCTCACGTCATACAGCAAGGTATAAATACATACTCATCACTAATGACATCTTTAACATTCTGATAACTAATGACATATTTCATTAATATTGACAGAACTTCAAGTACCTGTGGTCCAGTAATGCTACTACTTCTGGACATAGTACTTTAGTGTTCCACAAGGTTATATGACTCCATCATCCAGCGCAATACAGTTTATGTTGCAACTTTAATCATTATCAGGCTAACCTTAAAAATATCTTTGTTGCGGATTTCATGGGATATAGTCTTTTACCAGGCAGGTTAGAAATAATTTTTTTTCATCAAGTTAGCCACCAGGAAATTTCGGGAACTTTTTCTCGTCACAACTGTAAAAAAACCCTTGTTGAGGATTTCGTAACCATTATAGATTCACCAGGCAGGAGAAATTTTTTTTTGCTTTTCTATGTGCAGATGACCCAAATGAAATCATCTGAAAAAATACCAAAAAAAAAACTAAGCTTTGTTGGAAAGGTTTTAATCAAGAACAAGAATCAGTGGTTCAGGTGGTGGCTTTCCTTTTCCTCCCAGCTTGTGGACCTCGTTTAAGCGGTTCCAGGCCCCTGTCCCTACATGTTGGACAAATTGGCAGCAAAATTTTGTACTGGGTCTTTAATGCTGCTTCAACCTTACCTGCATTTGATCCACAATGACAGCAGACTGTGAGGGATCCCTTCCTGGAACTGTAAAAGGCCCATTCAACAGGACTGGCACACGATATCCCAAGCCGTGAGAAGACAACCCCATCCAAGGGATGACCTGAAAAGAGAGAGAGAGGAAATATCACAATAACAGATACATGTACTTGTTCAAAGAAAACCATGGTCTCAAATCAGAAATTTGTTGTTATTGCATACTTGGATAATTTGACACAAACTCCTAGTAGTAACTAAGAGGAAAGTAGGTAGGGCCTAGGTGTACAATAACCAACTCAGTTAATGCACGGCTGTAGCTTCACCCCTTTTTGACACTTCAATTTTCATTGGATAAAACAGTAAAGTGATCTTATTTATGTTACAAGTAATATATACCACAAACAAACTCATCCTAACGGATTCGTTTGTTTAAATATGTTAACTCGTAAGAACAGAGGTATAAATAGTACTTAATTGCCAAAGACTTAATTTGTCTCAATTCATTCATATATACCCTCAGGTGATATTATACTTCCACAGATGAAATCATGGAAACTAAGTATCCGTAGCAGACTATTCATCTTTCTGGTTGAGAGGTCTTTGTTACTGTACAAGCACCTTGGCTTTTCACATTCCCAACACTTGGCTACATGTCTAACATTCTGGCCCGTCAATAAAGATGCTTGGCATTTCTGTATGAAGATAAAAGGTGGCATATGATAAGAAAATTAGTCAAGTATACTACACAGGTTGACATTAACCATATTCTCAATTTCAGGTCTTACCTGTTCTTCTGCAGTCACAGCTTTCGTGGAGAATTTGACAGAGGGTCTGTTTTCATCTGTTGTCTCTGTACCATAAACAATACTGAAATCTTTGTAATTACTATCATCACCCACTACTGGATCTGGCAACCAATCTGGATCAGAATTGTCAGTTCTTTGGCAGCACTCTTCATCATTACATTTCCGTATCTTAAAGATAAAACAAAATTGTTATCTCAGGAATGAATTTCAAGAAATGAAATTCAAGACCAGGTTAGCTGTAATAAATGAACGAAGAGCAATAGAACGAAGCAAGCAGCAATAATTTCTGATCAATAGAGGACTTTCATGTAAGAAGCAAAACCACCTTCGTTAAGTAAAAACATGCACTGAGAAAAATCTTTATTAATAGCAGGGATTAACCTAACCTGAAAACAATAATGTCGTTCTTTACAGTGTTTCTCTTTGAAAGCTTCGTACTGTTTTTTGTTTTTCACTTGCTGTTGTTGAAGTTTCCCTACTTCAAGTTGGTTGTCTATTGAAATGGCTGTCTGCCACACTTTATTTATGTCTTCAGGTGACGATGGTGGGTAAACCACAAAGGTTCTCTCTTTCAGCGAGCAGCGCTGCATTCTCTCAGCAATGACTTGTGTAACTGGTGCCATTGATTGCTTCCACTCTTCTTTGATGAAAGCTTCCTTTTTACGAATGCTTTCTACAGTATTACATGACTTTAGTGCCTTCTCTACTTCTTCTGAACAGTTGCTCCTTTCAATAGCTACATTTTGTAGAGCAACATTCAGGATAGACATTACCCTTTCAACAGGATTGATATAGCTTTGACCAGGGGCTGTTCTTGCTGCAACTAATAGATCAACATTGGTATGTCTGAAAACATGAATCAAAGAGTTTTACAGACTCGAATGTTGATATATGATCAGGACCACCATCAGCGAAAAGGAGTAAGGTGTTGATATTTCCTCGACGGTCCTCTGGCAGACTATCCCAGTACTGACAGACCTCAGCAGCAAATCTGTTTGGGGAACTTGCCTCAAATACTGAGTCTTTTAGAGTCAATGACACCTGACCTCTGTAAAATGATTCTTCAGTTACATCAGGGATACTGATATCAAGTATGACACTGGGTACAATACTTCCTTTCTGTAGAACATCATGATCTAGTGCTGCAAGGGTAACTTCAGTAGGTGCAATAGACTGTTTACCTCTCACACCACTTGATATAGCCAATCCTGGTTCACCGACTGGTATCTTTGCTTTGTCATCAGCACTCATTAGAATGCACCTGTCTCCACCAAGGTGTACAGCAAGAGATCTCATATACTTCCATTGTGCAGCAGCATAATGAGCATCAGGATGACTTTGACGGAGCTGTCGAGACTGGACCTTATGCTTGAGATTTACCCGACCAGTGTAGTGTTTTGCCACTTCAGAACATGTGTTAGGAGGGGCAAATGATAAGTACACTGTTGACTCAGATGGAACAGGAACACCATCAGGTAAGCTGAGTCTCACTTGTTTGATCAAATCTGGCACAGAAAGAAACTGTGACATATGAGCAACCCCATGTCGTCGATCATCTGCAGCAACCAATTCTTCAATCAATTTATTCAGCACACTGAAGAACTGATCAAAAGTTTCACTAGGGCGACCTTTGTTGAGATGTCTGAGATCTAAGATCATATCTGGTTGCTCAGTAGATATTGCCAGCTTTATCCTCTCATCCATTGCAGGATGCTGGTCAGCACTGGCTCCAAGGTCAGTTGGCTATACAGTGATCTAAGAACATGGGGTGGAATGCTAGTTTGCAAACATGACATTTCCTTAGTGAATACTGCTCTCATGGCTCGGGTATGATATTCCGGGAGAGATGGTCTCAACAGCTCTAGTAATCTTGCAGACATTGTCATGCATTCATTCTGTGACCTTGAGGAAGGAACCTTCCAGAGAAACACCAATATACCTGTCCCACCACCAGGATCATACCTTAAATCAAACAAGCATTAACTAATTTAAGACTATGACTGAGGTATCACACATGCTTCCACCTTAACTCTTGAATTAGATACCTAAAGCTTAACACAGATTCAAAGTTCAAGGAAAATTGCAAGTCAAAATTCATCCTATGTTTCTGAAATTTCATGTTCATAGATGAATTTCAGATTAATATTGCTGCCCAAGAATAAAATTTAACATTTGCAAGATACAAATTAATGTATCAACAGGTAAGTTTCACTATCAATACTAACCGGAGAACATCAACAGGAAAAGACAGAGTTATATCTTGCAGAAACCGGTGCTTCTGGCAGGCTGACATGGATTTACAATAGACATCAGGATCAAGATAATGAGGTTGGTAGACTTCACTTGTGATCAAGGAATCCTCTATCATTTGGTGAGACTTCTTGCAAATACCAAATGGTCCAGCTGGATGGTGTTGTACTGATGCATTGTCAGAGATCTAAAAGACAAAAGTGAAGACGCTTACAGCTTACATATCACGAAGACAAAATGTGTTAAAATCAATGGTAGTATCAAAAAGGCTACCGAGATTACCGGTAAATCATAAGTCTTAAGTAATTATTTTCCATCAGAATAGTCTAAACGTACTATACATGAAGCTTGGTCTACCACCTACCTGACGTGCTGGTATCAACTTTGACTGGTATTCCTGTTGGCGCTTGTTGTGATTATCCAGGTACAGGGCAACTTGCTCCAGTAGTGCTGCAAGGGTCTCTATGCTTGACTTTAAATTCTTATCCCAAGATATGGTCAATGGCTTACCTATCAGAGTAATAAGATTCCTGCTGTGACTCTCAAGGATACTTTTAGTAAGTCTTGGCTTAGTTTTCCACTTTTGCCATTGTTGGAACCCATCAAATTTGCCAACATCAAACATGGCAGGAAAATCTTCAGTTATCTCAGATTCTGTTGCTCTTCTCTGTTTTATGATTTCCTTTCTGCCATCAAGATACCACAGGCAATTTGTGAGTAAACGAATGTGATACTGTACGTCACTGGGTACCATGTCATAGGGGAAATCCAAATCATTACCACATTGCTGGAGAAATGAGTTATGGAGTTGGTCTTTAGCATTTTTTTTCTTCTACTTTATTAGCCGGCTTTTTCATGGTTCGGTCCGACATCATCATGTTGAAAGCATTCTTTGGCTTTTCAGATGCATGGCTAGGTGTAACATCACCCCCTGGTGTTAAAAGGGGCAAGAAGGTTGACAAGTTATTGCCATGGTGATGAGCCGGGCTGCTGCTACTACCACCACTGGCACTAGACATAACATTCTCAAGCGAGAAACTAATGTATTTGATATTGGGGGAAAAGTTCAGGATCTCGTTAATCTTTTCGTCGACATCCACGACCATACGTGATGTTGATGAGAGGCGCGACGATGAGGACGGCATTTCATCATAAACTTCAACCAACAAACCTGTCGATCCTGATGTGTCATGGCTCTCCGTATCAAGCGTGTGATCGTTCACTAACTTGTCGAACAGGTGCAGTTCAAAACGGCAGAGTGTCAAAGGCAGGAGTGCCTTGTGGTCGCTGCTGTCATCAGATATTCTGGCTTTGACCGCCACACTTAACAACTTATTACTTGTCAAATTCGCCATCACCGCTTGCAAGCTTTCTCAATTCCTCCCTCTTGTTTTCAGTGGCCTTGACCAGATGGGGAAGGCACCGCGTCATCGAACGGGCGCCATGCAAATCAGAATTCCCGTATTCCCATCCTTATCTGTTATTAGTCATTTAAGGAATGAATGTGGATCTTGTTATCGTTATGGGGAAATAAACGCTGGTTTATACATTGGTTTATCTTTTGTGATAAAATACGCTAAAATGTTATATCTGTCAATCAAGTTCACCGCCCCGCCCCTAACAATATAATGAGATAAACGACTGAATTCGAATGGCATATTCAGCGTGGTAAACACTGGTCATAGAATTAAATTATAAAAAATGGCCATAATGAGATAAACGACGGAGTTCGAATGGCATATTCAGCGTGGTAAACACTGGTCATAGAATAAAATTACAAGAAATGGTCATAATGAGATAAGCGACGGAGTTCGAATGGCATATTCAGCGTGGTAAACACTGGTCATAGATTACAATAAAATTATAAGAGATGGTCATAATTTGGCAGTAGCGATACATGCTGGATTTATAGTCTGTACGGAAATAAGTAGATTTTTTTTACGTTTTCATGCAGGGGATACGTACGCATAATATTTTTTTTAGTGAAAATCTCCCACACGGCACTTTTTACGTTATTTCAAAACGACCCGGCCGGGAAATCCGCAACAGAGATAATTTTAAGGTTGGCCCAACTACTACAACTACCAAAAACTACCTAGTTTGTGATATCAGCATCCGCTGGAAGCGGACGTTAACTTGTCATCTACCAAAAACTACCTAGTTTGTGATATCAGTATCCGCTGGAAGCGAACGTTAACTTGTCATTTACCAACAACTACCTTGTTTGTACGTTAACTTGTCATCTACCAACAACTACCTAGTTTGTGATATCAATATCCGCTGGAAGCGAACGTTAACTTGTCATCTACCAACAACTACCTAGTTTGTGATATCAGTATCCGCTGGAAGTGGACGTTAACTTGTCATCTACCAACAACTACCTAGTCTGTGATATCAGTATCCGCTGGAAGCGAACGTTAACTTGTCATCTACCAACAACTACCTAGTTTGTGATATCAGTATCCACTGGAAGGGAACGTTAACTTGTCATCTACCAAAAACTACCTAGATTGTGATATCACTATCTGCTGGAAGCGAACGTTAACTTGTCATCTACTAACAACTACCTAGTTTGTGATATCAGTATCCGCCGGAAGCGAACGTTAACTTGTCATCTACCAACAACTACCGAGTTTGTGATATCAGTATCCGCTGGAAGCGAACGTTAACTTGTCATCTACCAACAACTACCTAGTTTGTGATATCAGTATCCGCTGGAAGCGAACGTTAACTTGTCATCTACCAACAACTACCTTGTTTGTGATATCAGTATCCGCTGGAAGCGAACGTTAACTTGTCATCTACCAACAACTACCTAGTTTGTGATATCAGCATCCGCTGGAAGCGAACGTTAACTTGTCATCTACCAACAACTACCTAGTCTGTGATATCAGCATCCACTGGAAGCGAACGTTAACTTGTCATCTACCAACAACTACCTTGTTTGTGATATCAGTTAGCTGGAAGCGAACGTTAACTTGTCATCTACCAACCTCTACCTTGTTTGTGATATCAGCATCCGCTGGAAGCGAACGTTAACTTGTCATCTACCAACAACTACCTAGTTTGTGATATCAGCATCTACTGAAAGCGAACGTTAATTTGTCATCTACCTGCCTACCTACTTATGTCTGGAGCACATGATAATATCAGAGTCAAAAAATTTGCCAGTGTCATTGATCTACAACAGTCCTACAACAAAATCGGAAGTGATAGGGAGATATCTGGCATGTTTGATTGAAAGACGTTCTGCCGTGCCTTGTCATTAAGTACATGTATGTGGGTGATCTGCATAAATTGTCATGATCTATTTAAAGCTCAACCAATAGAAATGTATCACATGCGCAATTCTGGATGACATAATGTTTACGGTAGCACTACAGAAAGCCGAATGAGACACCCCAGTGGCATAAAAAATCAGTAAATGTGCGCTGACCTTTTAGCAAGTGAAACATTGAGTTAATAAATAGTATATGTATATCAGATTATCTCGTGCTATTTTACCTATTACAACTTCTTATAAACAGTATAAATAACATGGTATTGAGAAAATTAAAAAAATCTTGAACACTTGAGGATTATCAAATAACTTGTTGTATCTGTATAATCATATAGTTTATAAATTGTTAATAATGATATGTATTTAAAAACATCAGTGTTTAAAATCAATAAACATCTCATCATATAAAATACTGAGTTATTATTAAACACTGGTGTCAAAATACAGTTTTTTATCAATTCACATCATGAATATTTATGTAAATTCACATTTCTATGAATATTATCATATCTTTTCATCTGCTTTAAAGGGATTGTATAGAGATTCCCTACATTTTTTATGTGTATCGGGGTCACCAATAGCCTCAATTTGCATTATTCCAATTCTCAGTCAGAGGTCTGTGTTTCCTGTTGATGACATCACTAATCTCCTTTAGTAAGGGCCTTATGTGATACGAGCACATTTTGCAATTAGTGAGCACATTTTGCAATCAGTGAGCACATTTTGCAATTAGTGAGCACATTTTGCAACTAGTGACGTCATCAAACACTTATATTTTGTAGAATTGCAGGAACCACAGACATCTGACTGAAAATGGGAATGGTGCAAAAAAGTGCACTTTTACATCAAACCAACTTCCTTTAAGAAGAGAGTACTTCTACATTCCCTAGCGTGTACAGAAGTTAAAAACCCATGAAACTTAACTAGTGAACTGTCATTAACAGAATATTGTTATTGTCGAACACAGTAGGCTACAAAAAATATCATAGAATAGATAGAATAACAGAGTACTTACCACAGAAGACCATCTGAAGGTAAAGTTTTACTTCCATCAGCTTCAACTATACCAGATAGTGGGTTCTTTAGATAGACTACCACATGGTCCTAGAGTAACAAAAATAAATTATAATTAACAGGGACATCCAAGATTTCATCTTCATCTTTCATGTCAAGCTATTATGAACTTTGTCTAATACCTTGACTGCAATAGTCATCTTTCTTGTATCACATCTTCACGATGTCAAGCTATCACAACCGTTATATCTTATAAGGTTTCATAGAAGTTTGTAAATGAAGCAATTTGATTGGATTGTACGCTAGCGAATACAGCCAATCAGACGCTTTGACAGTAAGTCTGTGAACGCAAAGCCATAATGTCTATATTTTTCTGTTGCAGGCTCGGCCTGGCTGTATTCACTGGCGTACAATCCAATCAATCGCTCCATTCTGTGAAACAACAATAGTGGCTATTGCGGTCAAGGTATAAGTATGTAGTTTGTCTGAGTTACTGATTAAGTCGAGAAATAGTCTAGATGTAGTAACAGGATACCTTTTTTGGAAACAAATACTTATTTCTAGAACAGAGATTCATTTTTTTTATCCTTTGCAATATATTTTACTTTTTTTAAAAAGCAGCTATGAGTCTTACTTCGGTGTGGCTTTTTAATAAAATATGTTTTTTGCATTATCATAAAAAATAGATTTGAAAACAATGTACATATCCATTAAATAAGTATACAGAAAAAAACAATCTTCCTTCCTGCACTGATTTTCTCTGAATCCGAGTCAAAATTCATCATGTCATAGAATAAATAATATGTATGATTTCCCCAGAGTGTAATAATAATACAATGTTTTAATGATATGATTTATCAGCATATGGTTTTTCATCTTCATAATGTCAAGCTTATACAAACTGTGTCTCCACAATATCAAGCCACAAGCTATTACAAACTTCATCTTCACAATGTCAAGCTATTACAAACTTCATCTTCACAATGTCAAGCTATTACAAACTGTGTCTCCAAAATATCAAGTTATTACAAACTTCATCTTCACAATGTAAAGCTATTACAAACTTCATCTTCACAATGTCTAGCTATTACAAACTTCATCTTCATAATGTCAAGCTTATACAAACTGTCTCTCCACAATATCAAGCCACAAGCTATTAGAAACTTCATCTTCACAATGTCAAGCTATTACAAACTTCATCTTCACAATGTCAAGCTATTACAAACTGTGTCTCCAAAATATCAAGTTATTACAAACTTCATCTTCACAATGTAAAGCTATTACAAACTTCATCTTCACAATGTCTAGCTATTACAAACTTCATCTTCATAATGTCAAGCTTATACAAACTGTCCCTCCACAATATCAAGCCACAAGCTATTACAAACTTCATCTTCACAATGTCAAGCTATTACAAACTTCATCTTCACAATGTCAAGCTATTACAAACTTCATCTTCATAATGTCAAGCTAATACAAACTACATCTTCACAATGTCAATCTATTACAAACTTTGTCTTCACAATGTCAAGCAATAACAAACTTCATCTTCACAATGTCAATCTATTACAAACTTCATCTTCATAATGTCAAGCTAATACAAACTGTGTCTCCACAATATCAAGTCACAAGCTATTACAAACTTCATCTTCACAATGTCAAGCTAATACAAACTACATCTTCACAATGTCAATCTATTACAAACTTCATCTTCACAATGTCAAGCAATAACAAACTTCATCTTCACAATGTCAATCTATTACAAACTTCATCTTCACAATAATGACATAAGGCCTAATTGTGGGACTTTGCTTTCAAATATGTGCAAGAATAGATAATCGGCTCTAGAAG